AACTCTTGTATCATTGTTTCTGATAAAGTGTTCAGTAGTGTATTCTGAAGCTCTCCACCATCACTACAATCAGTGACAATGGTGATTGATTTAGTCACTTCATTTGGAGGATCTGTTCATACATGTGCTGAACACCTCAAGATCACAAAACATCTTGTTTCTAGTTCCTCATCACTGATCATACTTAACAGACCTAATTCTTGCAAAACTCTCACCTGTAGCAAGGTGACACTTTCACAGCCTCATATCAAAGCGTCCACTCTGCCAGAGGTTGCTACTTTAAGATCTGACAGAGCACACTAAAACCACAGCAGGTGAAGGTTCCACTCGTCTACACTGTATTATGCTGTGAACCTACTAAGCTTTGCAAACTTTAACTCAATAATTACTATTGGCCAGATTACATTTAAACTATTTAATAATATATTATAATTTAATCAACTTGTATTGTCTGCACTAGCAGAGAATGTGCACTTTTTAGAGATACTGCAGCAGGTTTAATAATGTTAATGATCAACATTAGCACCACTGCACAAACAGCAGTTGAAAAAAAATAAATACCCAAAATGTGCAGATTTTCAACTATGGGAATCATGATTCTACTTTATCAAAACATTTTGCAATACTATTTATGGGTGAAGTAACTGCAGAACGACGACATCATTCTAGGTTAACAAAGGGTACGGACATGTTTCAGGTGAGACAACGTTGCAGTCGTCTTAACTTGTACTGAACCATTACCTCGATTATCTCAAGCGTTACAAAGCTAGATAATAGCATTGTCCTGTGTTCTTTTGAGGAAGTATTTTACCATTTGACAGTGTCAGTCTAAGCAGGCGGATAAATATAAGTCCAGCCCACCTCTTAACGTTCAGGTCACTCCTACTGAAGCAAAGTTCAGCTACAAACACTGATGTGGTGGAGTCGTACTGTACACACCATGGGGAACTTTACCTTCATAGCTGCTTTACTCTGCACCTTCAGTAAGTACATCGATCTTTTTTTTTTCTTACTACAACTGCTGGCTTTCTTTCAGCACCCTAATCAAACACAATTTATTTCCATTTTGAATAGGAAGTTCATGAATCCATTGTTTCCTTCAGGTTGGATCTCTGTCTCAGTTTCTGAGTTTCTCATTGTGGAGGTTCAGCCTGCTCAAGAAGTCACACTGACGTGTAACAACTGTACTAGTTTGGCCACTCCCATTTTCTGGTACAGACTGACCAGCGAACCCAGGATCAGCTGTATCTCATCTATGAGCAGCTCTGTTGACAAAGCTGTGCTCTGGGATGGATTTCAAAATGACAAATTTGATGTAACATCCAACATCACAAACCTCTTTCTGAAGATCAAAAGTGTGGATGTATCTGACTCTGGGCTCTACTTCTGTGGATGTTGTACGTATGGATTCCCAACTTTAGAGAGTCCAACATATTTAAAGGTTCAAGGTAAGTAAAGTGCTTTGTGTCGTTTTCACTGTGTGTCCCACACTGTGAGAAAGTTTAAAATGAATCATCATAAATGAGCTACAAAACTGCTACTGTCTATCTCAAAATCAGACCAGTAGATTGATCAGATTCTGGACTGTATTATTGTGGATTTTACACAAATTCAAACCCAACATTCAGAGTCATACACTTATATCATCAAGGTAACATCTACTGCAAATTGTGTCTTTCTATTCTGTGATTTTCTTGTTGACTTCATCTCAAACTGAAAAGTATGTTGAGAATTTTAGTGACAGCTGCAAATTATTTCTATTCATTTCAGGCAACATTGAATCTGACGATGACATCGACTGCACGTCTCAAAGTAAAGTTTCATTCACTTCCTCAAATGTCAGCGAGATCACAAGCCACAGAAGAGAACATTTACTCTGATTGTTCATCTCTGTTGCAGAAAAGTCTGATG